TTCTTCCATTTTTCCCAGCAGTTTTACTTCAGGGGACTTACACATCTTAAGTGACTGTTCATTTTAGGATTTTAGGATTCTTGACGCTACCGCAAATGGAATTAAATTTTTTTTTTTTATTTTGCAATTGGTTTTTTGCTAACGTGTGAAACCCAAACTGATATTCACATTGGCTTATATGCTGTGTCTTTGCTTTATTCGTCTGTTAGTTCTGCTATTTATTTTCTGGATTCTTTAGGGTTTTCTGCACACACGATCATATAGTCTGTAGATAATGAGAGTTTATGACGGTCTTTTCCTTCTCCGTGCCTTTTATTTCTGTCCTGCCTTTTTGCACTGTCTAGGACGTCCAGTACAATGTCACGCACAGGTCATGAGAGTGGGCAGCTGGCCTCACTGCTGATCTTTGGGGAAGATGGTTGGTATTTCAGCACTGGGCGTGATGCTATCTGGAAGGTTTCTTATGCATGCCCTTTATCAGATTCATGAAATTTCCATCTATCTCTAACTTGTGAGAGTTTTAAAAATAAATCATACAGGCGCTGAATTTTGCTACTGCTTTTTCCACATCGATTTAAACAAGCATATCTATTTTTCTCTTTTATTCTGTTTACGTGGTGAATTAAACTGATTTTCAAGCGATAAACCAAGCCTATACTCGGGATAAACACAGCTCGGTAACCGAGTATTATCCTTTTCGTAAATGTTGCATTTGATTTGCTAATGTTTTCCAGTATCTTCTGGGCTTATTATTAGTGGGGATATTGGTCAGTCATTTTCTTTTCTGCAGTGTCTTTGTCACTGGGGCTGGGCTCACCTCACAAAGCAGGTTGGGAGCTGTTCCCCTCTCCATTTTCTGAATGAGTGTGTGTGAGATTGGATTATTTCTTCCTTAAGTGTTTGATAGAAATTTCAAGTGAAACCACTGAGCCCAGAGTTTTCCTTCTCGGTGAGAAGGTGTCCATTCTCTTTAGTGGCCTAAGCGGTCATCTGTTTCTCGTTTAGCGGGCTTCGGTAGTGTGTGTCTTTCAAGGACTTCATCCGTTTTATCAAAGCGAGCAAATTTGTTTGCAGAAGTTCTTCATAATATTCCTTTGTCATCTTTTTGAAGTCTGTGGGATCTCTTTCATTGCATAACTGTGGTAATTTGTGTCTTCTCTAGTTTTTTTTTGTTTTGTTTTGTTTTGATTATTCCAATTAGAAGTTTATCAATTTTATTGATCTTTGCAAAGCACCATATATGTGACTGATTTGCCCGGGCTCCTGTCTTCTAAAAAGCTGTGATCTCGATTATTTCCTTCCTCCTGCTTACTTTGGGTTTTAATTTGCCCTTCTTTTTAAAGTTTTGAGTCGGAGCACAGCTTGTTCTCCAGAAGCTGTGCGTCTGCCCTGGGCCTTGAGGTTGGGCCATTCCAGGCCCCTCCCCCGCGGCTTCAGGCTTCTGTTTTCCAGGAGAGGAGGGTGGGGGAAGGGCGTGGCTTTGCAAGTTTGTGCATCAAGGAACAGGCAGCTTTCTCTGGCCTCCTCCTGACCTGTCCCCACTATTCTGGTGGCACTGAGTGGGGGCTCAGGAGTGAGCGTGGCCTCCACTGTGTCTGGGGCTCCCAGTAATTCCAAACCATCACCCTATCCCATATTCAGCCTTTAAGAATTTATTAAACGTTGGCATTTTCTCCTTACCTGTCTCGATGGCAGCCCCTTTTTCTCCGTGCTCTGCTAAAGGTGAACCGTCCCTGTGTCCCGTCCCTCCTTGGAGGGGCTGCCACCATTTAGAATTCACCTCCCTTCATTTCCCATGGTCTCAGCTCTCTAGTGGGCCCAAGAAAAATTCTGATTCTGTAGATC